GATCCGTGCTGTGAAGTCACCAAGTGCACTACCAAGTGTGTGGATCCATGCTGTGGAGCTGTGACCAAGTGCACTACCAAGTGTGTGGATCCGTGCTGTAGCAAGGTGACCAAGTGTGTCACCACCTGTGTAGATCCATGCTGTGAGGAGATCAGCAAGTGCACCACCAAGTGTGTAGATCCATGCTGTAGCAAGGTGACCAAGTRTGTCACCACGTGTGCGGATCCATGCTGCGGCAAAGCCACCAAGTGCACCACCAAGTGCGTGGACCCGTGCTGCGTGGAAGTCACCGAGTGTGTGGACCCGTGCTGCGGGGCCGTGCAGGCTGCCACCACGTGCGTGGACACCTGTGGCACGGTCAGCGTCACGCAGGCCGCGTCCCCGTGCGCCTCTGCCTGCACCCCGGTCTACTCCATCCGCTGTGCCGATATCTGCTGTCGGAAGCGCGTGCTCCCTTGAGGCCCCGTGTGTGGAAGATGCGTCTGGAATTGACTTGAAGACCCCCGTGCACTCGCATCTTCCTCTGGTCTTCACTGCCCTAGGAAAGGGAGAACCTTCCTGTAGCTTTTCTTACATTTTCACATAACTTCTCTTGTATTTATTTAAGGCACGATGCCTTTTCTTGTAGCTTTTGTCATAACTAAGTGGTCTTCTACCCCCAGGAGCACCGTGTGTGCCTGGGAGAGTGATCTTCTAATTCTTCTGCTTTGAGGTTGGGGGAATTTTCCCATTTTCTTTTTTCCCCCATCTTCTTACTTTCCTGTAGATGTGAAGCAATAAAAATGATCAGTCTTGGCCACAACTGTCTGCATCTGTCCTTCGCTCTGCCGCTCCCACAGGCTTGCACTTTCTCCCATTAATTTTCTCCTAAAAGACCTCTTTAGAGGAGCAGCAACTGCTGAATGCATGAGGACACTCAAGAAGGGTGGCACACTCATTCCCCACTGAATCCTGCGGAAATCCTTATTGCTCTTTGCAGGGTATCYCAGAGGATTTTTGGTAGCCCTCCATGCAAACGTGCGAATGGGAGCCAAAGGGCTTCCCCCGTCAGCACCGAATTTGKTTGCAAGTTGCTCTCTGCAGAGTGGCATCCTTGGGGGACAGGTCTTGCTGTTGCACACGTTGAAGACGGTGCCAGAGACACGAGCAGGGTTTGGACTTGGCCACAGCTACAGAAAGGAAGGGACAGCAGGGAGGAAGGCGGCGGATGAAGCTAGAGGACCCACCGGCCCGTCCTTAGGAGATGCTCCAGGCTGTGACTAACCCATAATTAGCTCTGTCTCACTTTTTCTGCTGGAAGAGTTCCACCAATTATGGGACATGATGAATCATGCTCATGGACACGGCAGTGGGGYGGATTAAGGAGGGCTGAGCTGCTAGCTGGCCTCATGCGCGTCGCTTGGTCCGGGCAAATCCCGTGGGATTTGGGCAGGACTCTGCTCCTACTCTCGGTCACACAGCACTCACCACGTCCCAAGCCCAGCTTTAGCGTTATCRAAGTGTGGAGGCTGCACAGCTCAGATACCAAAGCAGATAGGGCTCCCCGGCCACCACCGTGGAGGCTGGACCTCACTCTGAGACTCCCGCATAAGCAAAGGTTTTCTCTGCTCTCAAATCAAGCCAAACGATCTTCAGGGATATAAGAAACTATGGAGAGGAAAAATGACTTTCAGGTACCGTTTTCCCTTAAGCTGTTTCTCTGTAGTATCCCTCCAATTGCATTTTWAAAAAATCCTTCTGGTGAGCTTGGAAACTCAATTGTTAGAGGGCTGAGACCATCACAGGGAGCAGACGTTTCATTTCCAGGTAGGCACCAGAAGTTCGAGGTGTGGGAAGAGGAACAGGGACCCTTTTCCCCTGATCTAGAATGTTTACACCCTAGCTGCCATGTTCTTATGACATTTCTGGAGAAAACCGCACTCTGGGAGCAGTGAATGCCATAGACACCACCGCGCTTGCTGTGTCACATTATGTGTGTGGAGGATTCTTCAAGAATCAGGGCATTATCTTGTTTAGCAGGGGGAGAAACCCCAAGGAAAACCAGATTCCCATTGTAAAGTGTCAAGCAGTCAAACATCAGCAATTGTCAGAAAAAAAATAAACATAAAAAATTTGAGTTTCTTGCTGTCATGACAGCTAGCTCCTCTTTTCCGGATGGGGTCTTGGTCAGATGCTCACTTATCATTCCTTGTAGGACACTCACCTTCCTGTGTAAACAGGAAAAGAGGCGGATTGCGCTGTGCTGCTGCTCCTCTCAGCCCCAGAAGTAATGATTTAATTGCTTGATCAAATTGCCCCTAGGACGTGGAGGAGACAAGCTGCCTGTTTTCATGTGAGGCGAATTCCTCTGCGCGCTCAGGCTCCTGGCATGCAAGGTATGCATGGATTTCTGGAGCCGGGAATGGAYGGGCAGCCCAGGGACATGGTTGGTCCTAGAAGCTGGTCTTGATGCCTGGTGCCCAGTGGGAAAGCTGGATATACCCAAGTCAAGGATGGGTAGTAATAGAGGGGGAAAGTGGGCTGGGAAGTCCTCGTTGTTCTGAAACTGCTGGGAATATTCTTGATTTCTGTGGCAAACTTTGCTTAGGGTTTTTGCTTTGGTTCTGGTCTGTTGCCTGCTCTTTTCGTTGGCACGCTGCCCATTGCACCAGGCTCTGGCGCTGCAAAGGACCTTGGTCTTCGCCATGTAGTTAAACGATTTCAGAAAGAGGAAATTTGGAAAAAAAAAAGCTTCTTTCCTGACATTTTGCCTGGGCCTGAAAGGATGCTGCTGTGGAGCTCTGAGTCACTGGGCTTAATGGAACGAGTCAACTGAGCAAATTGCTCATAAATGTAATAAAGTTCCACAAATAAGGGTCAATTAAGAATAATCATCCAGTGCTGCCTGATGTTCCCACATACTACAACTGCAGTTCAATTTCTGTCTCCTAAAATATCTAATTTTCTTGCAAGTTGTTTCAATTTCTTGCTAATCAAATATAACAATAGGATGCACAATAAGCCCCTGTAGAAAGGGACCGGTCCTCAGCATCGGTATTCAAGATGAGTTGGGAGTCCCAGGTGAACATGAACCATGCCAATACTGAGAAAAGCTCCTGAAAACGCTAAAAACGCATCAGCCTGAGCAGGGCTTCTGGTTTCCTGTGTAGACAGGACATAGTATTCACTCCGAATGGGATTTTTTTTTTTGCTTTTTTTTTTTTTTTTCCATTTAGTACTTGTGTAAATGATTTAATTGGCGAAATTGTCAAGAATGACAAAACACCCCAAGGCACGGCCGAATTTTTGTGTTCCACTCACCTGACTGGAACATCTCCGAGGAATAAAAATGTTCTGGGCTCTGGAGCTGAGTGAGATATCGATCAGGGAAAGGCTTAAATACATGAATATGGAATTCTGCTCACGTGAATGGAGGCCCTTTGCACTGCTTTGGCAATGGAGGGAATGATTTGGTAATGCCTCTCCCTTTGAATGGTTGGAGAAGTCTTCCCAGGACCTAGAGTTGTCTCCAACTTGGCGTTGTCAAAYGTGAACCCGGTTAATAGACCAAGAGGTTGGGGAGGAAGGGGCTGGGGTGGTTTTAATGGTCAGGAAGGTTCTGGAGAACCAGCTGAAGCACCAATGGCCCCTGTAGAATTAGCTCTCTCTTGCCATGAGAATTAGGACATGATGTTTCTCATGGAAAACCCTATCAATTGTCCACTTGCCTTAATAATAGTCATTGATTCTAACTGTATTGGGAAGAAACCTAAGGTATCATTCTGACACTTAGGAGGAGATGAAAATATCAGAGCATATTAAATCTTTTTAAAAAAGCAATTAATCTAGTTTGCGATTCTTTTTAATTATCGTATTTTCCAATTGAGAATCGCATAGCTTGGGTTTTGGGTGGAAGCAGACTTTACTCAGTATCACATGCTTTTCCTGGAAGTAGGTTTCCCCCCAAATTTAGGATGTAAACAAATACGAAAAGTATGTATAGGTGGAGCCTGTGGGGATGCTAATGGTCAGGTGTCCATACCCCTGGGCTTCCTCGTTTCCGGAGGTGACGCCACGCAAACTATATAAAAAGGCTGGCGTTTTGATGCTCACACCAGTTCATTTGGTATCTTCCTCACTCATCTGCATTGGTGAACTGGTAAGTCTTTCTTGGATTTATCAGGGAGTGATGTGGTGGCAGGATCGCTTGGTCAGTTTGGTCAAGAGAGTGTATTCCTGACGGCAGAAGAACTTTGCTCTTTGATGTTGAGCTTTGCTCGGAGGTGTTGCTGTTTGGTCCAGGATTCCTTCCGGGATGGGAGAGAGGATGTTTGACTCTTAGGCAGCGTCTTCTTCTTTGGTAATTTGGAAATGGCCCATCGCCTCTGCAGAAGCTGGTTTTCTTCCACCCTCCTGCATAGTCCATCTTCATTAACTCTTTTAAAACCTCATTAAGTCAGGAAATTATATAAATGACTGGATGTTGCAGAGTAAGGCTTGGGACTTCAGAAGAGATGGGTGGGAAGAAGCGTTGTCTGGAAGAAGGAAGCTGTAGGAGTCCTTAGGGCAAAACTGTAGGAGAAGTATGGGAGCAGCCAAGATGAGGAAATGCATCAGAAARAGGAGCTGCAACCTCTAGGCCAAGACAGAGAGGATAAGCCTATTAATTTTAGTGCACCGTCAATGATGTATAGCTGGAGGATTTGGAAGAGTGTTTGAATTGTAGTCTTGGGGCTCTAGCCTCTGAATTTAACAGGCCAATATCTCATGAGCAACCAAGTTCTGGTGTACGTGAGGAACTAGAAAGCAACGAAGAGACAATGGAACTCCTTCTCTCATGAAGTAGCTCAGGAAAAAAAGCTATTCTCATAGCAGGGTGTCTCCCAGGTATAAGTGGATGTAGTTCTGTGAAACTCAAGGTTTATGGCTCCAGTCTTTCCAGTGGTAACACTTGCCGGTTCCCAAAGAGGAAGGAGTAAACTGGAATCTTCACCTTGTACTCCTTCTCTCCCCAGCATCGCCAGCACCCAGCAAGATGTCCTGCTACGAACAGTGCAAGCAGCCCTGCCTGCCCCCTCCCACGTGCTGCGTGAAGAAGTGCCCGCCGTGCCCGGAGCCCTGCAGCACCGTGTGCGTGGAGCCCTGCGGCACCGTGTGCGTGAAGCCCTGCGCCGAGCCCTGCAGCACCCAGTGCACCACCACGTGCTGCACCACCCAGTGCGCCCAGCCCTGCAGCACCCAGTGCGTCCAGCCTTGCAGCACCCAATGCGTTGAGCCCTGCAGCACCCAGTGCGTCCAGTCCTGCAGCACCCAGTGCGTTGAGCCCTGCAGCACCCAATGCGTCCAGCCTTGCAGCACCCAGTGCGTCCAGCCCTGCAGCACCCAGTGCACCACCACGTGCTGCACCACCCAATGCGCTGAGCCCTGCAGCACCCAGTGCGTCCAGCCCTGCAGCACCCAGTGCACCACCACGTGCACCACTCAGTGCGCCCAGCCCTGCAGCACCCAGTGCGTGGAGCTCACTCCGCCAACCTGCGTGGACGTCTGCGTGAAGCCCTGCGCCACCTCGTGCTGCACCCAGTGTGCCGAGCCCTGCCCGGCCCCGTGCGTGCAGGTTTGTGCCACCAAGTGCCCAGAGAAGTGTGAGACCGTGTGCCTGGAGCCCTGCCCCCGGACCTGCTGATTGCCCTTAGCACCTGGGGCCCTTGCAAACAGCACCATGACCTCTGTGGGCTCACGAGCTTCTGTGCCATGAAAGATTACAGACCCACCAGCAACGTACCAAGACCTCCTCTCCCTTTGCTCTCCTTGACTTATAAATGCTGCTCTAAATATTTCCAGCCTTGGCTTTCTATGCTGCCCCTTCCACTCCTTTCCTGGCGCCTCTTCTCCTTGGGAGCTGCAGTTGGCCAACATTGTCCCCRGTGTTCTGGGGAGATGTTCTGCCTTGGCAGTGCTACCAACATGCTGCAGGTGGAAGAGCTCTGCCTTTTCATCCTTTAACTCTTCTCTAGCCTTTTATGTGTATGCGTAGCAATAAAAAATGACCATMGATGGCATTTTCTGTCCTCTTGTCTTTTGTCCTTCTCTTTGTTCCTACGCCTTCAGGTTCAAGACCTCCTTCCTCTAGTTTTTCTCTGAAGAAGCTGGGATGCTTGCAAAGGTTTCATGCCTGTAAACATGTTCTAGCAGAGCGCGATGCTTTCCAATGCTGTAAATGAAACTTGACCAATGCTTTTTGAGAGATACTAAACAATGAGTTTTGTCCTACTGAAAAATAATGGTAGTAAAATATATATTGCTGAGTAAAAGGTAAAATGAATTGGAAGAAAACCCCAAATCTAGAGGAGAAAATATTGAAGTATTCTTACTGTTTTTTAATGATATTTTTTAATGMTTTAAAATTTAAAATGATTTAATGCTGCATGGCAGAGCTCAGAGAGTGGTAGTCAGTGGCRCTGGGTCCAGTTGGAGTCTGTAGTTAGTGGTGTCCCCCAGGGGTCAGTCCTCGGTCCGGTCCTGTTCAATTTATCCATCAATGACCTGGATGAAGGGCTGGAGTGCTCCCTCACCAAGTTTGCTGATGATACCAAACTGGGAGGAGTAGCTGATAGCCCTGAGGGCTGTGCTGCCATCCAGAGGGACCTGAACAGACTGTACAACTGATGAGAAACCTCATGAAGTTCAACAAGGGCAAGTGCAAGGTCCTGCACTTGGGGAGGATTAACCCCAGACACCAGTACAGATTAGGGGTTGACCTGCTGGAGAGCAGCCCTGCAGAGAGGGATTTGGGTGTCCTGGTGGATGACAAGATGCCCATGAGGCAGCAGTGTGCCCTGGTGGCCAAGAAGGCCAATGGGATCCTGGGGTGCATTAAGAAGAGCGTCTCCAGCAGGTCGAGGGAGGTGATTGTCCCCCTATACACAGCTCTGGTAAGGCCACATCTGGAGACTGTGTCCAGTTCTGGGCTGCCCAGGACAAGAGGGATGTGGCGCTGCTGGAGAGAGTCCAGCGCAGGGCTGTGAGGATGATCAGGGGCCTGGAACATCTGCCCTGTGAGCAAAGGCTGAGGGAGCTGGGCCTGTTCAGCCTGGAGAAGAGAAGACTGAGGGGGGACCTGATCAGTGTCTGTAAATACCTCAAGGGACAGAGGGAGGAGGATGGGTTGGCCTCATTTCTGTGGTGGTCAGTGATAGGACAAGCGGAAATGACCACAAACTGAGACACCAAAAGTTCCACAGGAACCGGATTATATGATTCTATGATTTCTTAAAAAAATAAAATAAGATGGAGACAATGTGGTGTTCTCAACGCTCACTTCCCATCATCTTTGCTGGGTGGGAACGAGGGGCAAGATTTGGCTTCAGGAGAGGAATCTTCTCATGGTCCAGGAGCAGGTCCAAGCCCTGCCGGGACAAGGGAGCAGCTTTGTCCCCAGCTTTGCTGTTGACACCTCACAGGGCTTTGGGCAGGGCTGGCTGCTGCTGCCTATCTGCTCCCATCTGCGCGGGGGAGCCGCGGCTGCTGTGGCCCACGGAGCAGTTGGTATTTCAGGTTCGTTAACGTCTGYCTGCTGCAACAGTATTTTCATTCTATTGCAAACCTATTGTCTTCGTTTGGATCCCGGCTGGGGAGGGAGGCCCTTGTCTGGAGCCCATTGTTCCCTACCCTATTGTCCCGGCTGCTCCCACTCGTCTCCGGCGCAGGCTCCATGTCTGGATGCAGAGCATTTCTTTCCACCTACTGTGTCATTAAGGCCAGGGTGGAGGGTGATTAATCTCCACGAGAAAAGAGTTATATTTAGGCGTGTGTAAACACTGTTACCAAATCAGCCCGCGATGAACCCGTGGGCACAAGGGTAGCTCTACAGTAGATTCCTTTTTGTGCGATTTCTGTCAACACAGAAGGAAGGGCGATGGTATCGAGCGTCGACAGGCACAGGTGTTTGGTGCACCTGAGTCAGGCATGGAGATTTTGCCCCAAACGTGCATTTTGGTTCAGCAAGACAGGCTATGAGGGCTGGACAGCTATGGAGTAGCAAGGCCATGAAGGGGAAGTCTGGGAACATCCATCCATGGTTCCTATCAGTGAGCCCAAGCCTTTGGGGTGAATCCTGCCATCCATAATATCACTGACACCTGCTGCTCCTGCTCTGTGCTCAGCATTGGTGCCCACCATCAGGCGTGGGAGCAGCTTTGGTCAGGAGACCACTTGCAGTGGCCAACAAGGCGCATCCGGGATGAGACCTCCATGGTTGGTCTCCATCACCCAGCTCCACCAGTCCTGATGTCCACGGCTACCGCTCCGTGAGCACCGCACCAAACGCAGCCATGGTTGACACCACTGGGAAGCTCCAAAAGCCRCAGAGGAAGAGGCAGAGACGGCTGTCCGGTCAGTGCTCATCACGCATCYCATACCTATGGCAGAGCGTGTTGCAAAAGCCCTGACGCACTGTTGTCCTACACACCTGTGGTTCATCTTGGGCATTGCTAAGGTCTGCCTATCTGCAGCCAATTAGCCCAGCCTGGTCCTCATTAGCCTCAGGGTCTCTAAGACCTTGGCTGRTCAGACACAGGTGGGTTTTGTGAAGACCGTGGCTAGTTTTTCTTCTTCCTCGTAGGGCTGTGAGCCCCTTCTGCTCTCCTTTGCCTACCAGCAGTTATATCTGTGGCTCCTCTGTGGATCCTGTGGTTGTAAGTAGAGAAGAGGCTGTAGTTCATGGACCAAATCCAACCCCTTGGGGCACAAATCCAAYCCCCTGGGGCACAGCCCTGAGGACAGCTCAGGGAAGGCTTGGAACTACCTTTGCTACTGGAACTGGAGGCAGTGCCTTGACTTGAGCTATTTTTCCTTTTCCTTCCTTGGAAAAGCTTTGGGGGCGTTGGGCATAGGTTCACCTGAGAGGGAAAGAAATCCTGCCGCAATGCCAGTAAACCAAATCCTGTGTTTGTAAAGGGAAAGCTTTCATTTCTTTGGGGGAAGTGGAGAGCAAGGGTAAGGAAAAGGATGCTTAAAATAAGGGGATGRCTTTAAATTTTGTGGATGATATAAAATATTTTTGGTCTCTATGGGAGGGAGGAAAAGGGAGAAGAGTTAAGGTTTATGCAAGCTGGGTTTCCTGATTGCAGAGCTGGCTCTCAAGTCTGAGCTGGGCTGTGGGAGCCGAGGGCCAGGCTGGGACAGTATGAATTATTAATGAATTAGCCAGTTATTACCAGATTGGGTGTGCCTGCCCTGAAAATCAACAAGTTCCCCCACACCTGAAAACATCTCTGACAGACCTTGACTGAAATCCAGCACTAAGGAGGTGTCAGCGGAGCAAGTTCTTGTTGTGAAAGATGCTGGTCATCAAGTTAATCTGTCGTCATCGGCTGCCGGGGCAGACTTCCAAAAGGGTATAAAAGCCTTCCCTTCGGGACGCTCCTGAATCCCGGCGGCGTCTCCTTCCCTTCTGCCAACAGCAAGAGGCACCAGGTGAGTCTCTCCGCACGGATGCATGGAGGGCAGTTGGAGAGTCTTCTCCAGGGGCGACTTCTCCCTCTTGCATTTCTCCAGCAGCCCTGTGCTGTAGGTTCTTTCCTTGCTTAGTTGCTCCTCAGGCTGGTCACCCAGAATCTTGGGAACCCGCTGGCTCTTTGGTGACCGTTCYCTGGCACCTCCTCTTGTGCCCGTTGGGCACCCAAGGGCCTTTTACTGCGGTCTCGAAGGTGCCCGACTCCAAGAGTCACTGCGTTGGGTGAAACTGCAGCACCGCTCATGGTGGGGCAGGTTGCTYGTGGTCGGCGACGCTGTCCTGCTCTGGGGTTTGTGATGGAGGGATCATTATCAAGCTGTTTTCTTCTTCCAGAAGCTTTGAAATCAGGAACCTCTTCATTGTGAGGGTGCCCGAGCCCTGGCACAGRCTGCCCAGGGAGGTTGTGGAGTCTCCTTCTCTGGAGGTCTCCAAACCCACCTGGATGCTGCCCTGTGCCCCATGCTTTAAGTGTCCCTGCTGCAGCAGGAAGGTTGGACTAGATAATCCCTGGAGGTCCCTTCCAACCTCAACCATTCTGTGATTCTATTATTTGGCTTTATACATACTGCAGAACTGTCCTTCCRATGGTGTTAACCATGAGCATATCCACAAGAGCAATTCTCCCATTATGGGAAATASAAYGATTAATTCTAGCGGGAAGGTTGGACTAGGTGATCTCGAGAGGTCCCTTCCAACCTTAAACATTCTGTAAACTCTCCAGCTTTCTGACTTGTTTGCCCCATTGCCAGTAATTTTCATGCCTGCCCTGGTAGAATTAACATTGGAAGTCAAAGGCTATATAAAAAATCAGGCTGAAACTGTAAAACCTGAAAAGGAGAGAATTATGTAAGGCTGAAAAGTAACCTAAGTGGCACCTTGGTTTCCTTCCAGGTTTAGCAGCAATGTCTTCACACCAGCAGAAGCAGCAGCAACACATACCTCCCCAGTGCCAGGAGAAGTGTCACCCAAAGAGCACGGAGCAGTGCCAGGCGCCCAAGGGACAAGCCAAATGCCCTGTGAAGAGCATCCCGCAACAGCAGCAGCAGCAGCAGCAGTGCCCGAAGCAGAAGTAGCTCTGGTGCTGGTGGAGGGAAGGGGCAATTGCTTCCTTGCAAGCTCTGTGTTGCCTCCACCAAGCTGGCTAGAAATGTGCAGGGCGCCGGTTTTGCTTGCAAGTGGGGAATTGCTTTACAAAGAGATGCAATGAATTAGCCGGCATTTATTCATCCTCAACTATAGCAAAGTCACAAGCTGGTTCCTTCTGATCTTTACCTCGGGGTGTGCTGCAATAAAATCACAATTAACTGCATTACTTGCTTCTTGATATTTTTCTTTCCCCACTTTATTAGTGCCATTCATTCTCTCCTCCTTTCTTGTAATAGCTCGGGAATCACCTTTAAATTTATAAGTACCTAGGTTTAAGGCACATAATATACACAGGTACTTGTGCACGTTTCCTTCCAGATTCTTTATCCTTATAATATCTGAGCACTGGATCAAGATGGGTGCAGACTCCAGATTCGAATTGTTTCGGGATTGTTTTGTGATATCGTTGTGTTGTTTCACCTTTTTTTGGACAACTGGCAATTTTGTGGGATGTTGCCATTTGGGAAATTACTTTCTCAGGCTTTGTCTATTTACCTGAGGATTCTGGTGTCTCGCAAGAAATGAAGCTATTCCCCAAGATACAATTCTCTGCAGCAGGGCTATCGGGATGAGTTATTTTGATTTTTTTTTTTTTTTTTTTTTTTTTTTTTATTTGGCTTAGTGGTGCTATAACTGCTGCTGGGAAAATGGCTTTCAAGAGCATTTAAACCCGAATAAAAAAAGGGAAGTTGCTCAGAACACGTTGCTTTGGTTTTAAAGCAAGCCAAAACAGGATGGAGAATTTCTGCTTTGCAGCAAGGAAATTCTGGTTCAACCAATTGCTCTTTTTTTCCCCATTCTCCTCTGTAGCAGAGGAGGAAAATCCCCATAAATGCAGATGTTCCTGCAGGATCCGGCAGCAGGACCTTGCAGGTGGTGCAAGAACAAGCTGCAAAGCAGAAACTGGGGGCTAAGCCCGACATTGAGAGGAGGTGAGACCGGCGCGGGGGCTGCGTGCAAGAGATTGCATCGCTCCTGGCTCCTTTGCAGCGTGGGAAAAAACATATTTGCTTGGGCTCGCAGCCTGACTCGTTGTTGGGCTTGTGCAGGAGGTCAYGGTGAGTGGCTGTGGGTGTTTTGGGGTGTTTTCACACCCCAAAAATGTGGGGTGAGTGGAGGTGCCCCTGATTCTGGCTCTCCCGCTTAGCCTGGCTTGGCGCTGGGAAGGGGCTACGTGAAGCTCAGGCTCCTTCTTGTTTTCCCTTTGGCGCAGGAGTTGCCAAAAATTCCCCCAAAACTCAGTATTCAAAGTCACTTTTATTGGTGATTTTCACAGTGAAACGCGTCTTGGATACCCTATGAGCCTAAAACTAGTAGCGCGACGGCCCGAGCACGCATGCGACGACACCGTGGGCTGAAAYGCGCTGCTCCCGAGTGCAAACCCGCTCCCGTCGCCGCTGCGGCGGGTGGCAGCCGCGCCTGGCGGTGGTTTATTTCAAAACCCGTCTGGGTTGCATTTAATTACCTCTATCTTTTCCATCAATCCCCTTGGCGTGCGCTGCTCTTTGCAGGTCCCGGTGGCTGGGAGGCGAGCTCCCCGTGGTGGTGCTGAGCTGGCTGCGACTTCCCATGCACAATTCAGCTCAGCGGGTACCTGGGAGCTGATGACTCTGCAGGAAAAACCTTCCTCTTTCCTCTAGATTTTAACCTTGTTTAAGATATTTCGCGTCGTGGGTTCATGGTTATGGCAAGTGGTGCTGCCCTGGATCAGACCCGTTCCTAGCAAGTTCTGCCCAAATCCCAAATCCTGCCGTTTTAGAGCAAACCCCAAAGCACGAGGTAGGGGGGGATGCGGAGGGGAGCGTGGGGAGCGGGTGGCAGTGCATAGGGCTGCACCGTGAGCACTGACTTCAGGACGGCCCCTGCTTCCCGAGCCCTGGCTGAGCTGCCATCACAATTCCTGGCCTCTCCCTGGCAGGATAACTGGGAGAGGACGGGGACTCAGGCTGCTCAAGCCGAGCATGCGTGTGCTGGAACTCCAAGCCTGCAACAGCCGTGTTGGTCGGAGGGGAGTTAGCGTGGGATAACGTGAGCGTTAGTACCGGGAGGGAAGGTGGAAGCAGGGCTAAATTCTGCAGTGAATAACGGGGCGATGGAAACGGCGGGAGCTCTTCGGCTCCTGCCTCGCTGAGCTGCCAGCGCGTCACTTCTGCGCCGGGGGCCACTGGCCGGGCAGCTTCACTTGCTGCTGCTCGCAAAGCGAGCACTGCTCCAGCTCCGCACTCGGCGGCGCCTCCTCCTGCTCCGGCTGCTCCGGGCTGCACGGCGCCACATCGGACATCGGCGCCGGGATCTCCTTGCACTCCTGCTTCACCTGGGGACACGGGGCCGGATCGGGGCAGGCCACGGGGATGGGCACCGGGATCTCCTGGGGGCAGGCGGGTGGTTCCGGGAGGGAAACTGGGATCTGCACGGGGATCTCCTTGCATTCCTGCTTCTCCGGAGGGCACGGCACTGGATCGGGGACAGGGATCGGCACTGGGATCTCCTTACACTGCTGCTTCTCCTGAGGACACGGGACAGGCTCAGGGCCGGGAACGGGGATGAACTCCGGGATCTCCTTGCACTGCTGCGTCTCCTGGGCGCAGGGAGCAGGCTCAGGAACAGGGACGAACTCCGGGATCTCCTTGCACTGCTGTGTCTCCTGGGCGCAGGGAGCAGGTTCCGGGCAGGGAACGGGTATCGGCTCCAGCGGCTCCTTGCACGGGGTTTTCTCCTGAGGACATGGGACAGGCTCGGGACAGGCTGCAGGAGGCAACGTCGGGGGCAGCTTGCACTGCTGCTGCTGCTGCTCCTCCTGTTGCGGACCCTCGGGAATCACCACGACCGGAGCCGCTTTCTCCGGGCCCGGCACTAGCAGCACGGGGACCGGCTCTGCAGGCACCTGGCCATGGGGCTGCTGCTGCTGCTGAGGGGGACACGGCGGCTCCTCGGGGCCCGGCGTGGGCTCGGCGCTCTGCTTCGTAAGCAGCCCGGGCGGCAGGACGGTTGGCTGCTTGCACTGCATCTGGTGCGCGGACATCGCTGCACGGAGCGAGGGAATCTGAAAGAAACAGAGCGTTACCGCGGCTGCTGAGCAGAGCGGGCAGAAACCAGCCCTAAGAAGCGTGAATCATCTGCAAGGTGGTTTTCCCATAGCAGACAGGCATGGAAAGAACCACGGCGTCCTCTTTCTTTTGCAGCCCGCTCTTATCTCCATGCTCGGAGCTGGGGTGCAAGGTGGGGCAGTGCTGCGGGCTCTGGAGTTGCTGCTTTGAAACAGAGAATTTGCACTTCAGAGCAATTCCCCCGTTCCGGTGCTCTGCCCGGTGCTTTTCCTCCCTGGCGTTTCCTTGCAGGAGAGCTGAGAGCAAATAACAGCCCCGCGGGTTTGGTAGCGGTTTCAGGAAGCCACAATAAAATAAATAAATGAAATAAAGTAAAGTAAAGTAAAATAAAATAAAATAAAATAAAATAAAATAAAATAATAAAATAATTAAATAAAAAATACGACTGATGGCAAGCACTTGGAAACATTCAGGGGACCAAGAGGCAGATAAAACATCTAGACCTGGATCCCTTTGATATCCCTGGATATTTCCCTTTAACAAAAGGGAAATTTTGCCTGGGAAGGGAAAAAGGGAAAAGGAAACAAAAGGGAACTGAAGCTTTGCCTATTTTAGAATAACTCTCAGATTTTAAACGGAATAAAGGGAAAATTAGAGACTGCAAGGCCATTAAAAATAGGAAAAGCAAGCGTCTCTGCTTAGAAATGCCTGAAGATGTTTGGTCTTATTCACAAGTTTTACAGGTTGCTCTGTGAAGTCAGTGTAAAACTGACTGCTGCTGGGAATGAGCATCCGCCTGAGCTTCATCCGAGCTCCCTCTTGGTCCCTCTCCGGTGGGTCGAACCTTGAGCCTCTGGCACTGACGGCAGCTCCCAGTTCCACTCCAACTCCACCGGTGACGCCTGGGGTTGAGGAGGTCGCAGGTGGCACCGTCCCCTTGGCCATCGTGGGAACTGTTCGCCGTGGAGAGGCCACCCGTGGCCCCCGTGGCAGCACACAGGGCTGCCGGGAAGCAGGACAACCCGATTCCCATGCCACCGTTTCCCTAGGGACCATCTCAGGACATAAATAGAGAGTTTGAGTCGCGGGGGCATTGCTTGGAAGGGACGTTTCTAGGTCCCCTTAACACAGAGCCGGGTGAGTACTCTGCCCTTCTCAGCACGTCTTCAAAGCGGATTTATTCCCTCCTGCCCCATCCTTCCAGCTCCTCCACATCGATATGAAGTGCCACTTTCTGTTTTCTTCGTAGGAACCTGATAACATTTTGAGCCAAATTGGCACCTCGCTGTTGATGTTGATGTGAGACCTGCAGCAGCAGCTCACAAATCTACCATAAACAGTACAATTTTTCGATTAAATAAAGATTTAAAAGCATTCTTGCTCTAAATCATGGAATGACAGAAGCTGGTGTAAGCAGGAGCTTTAGTAGGCCAGTTAGACCTCCCCTTTACTAAGGCAGGACTAGTTACACTCAAGCCAACGTAGTTCTATCTCATCTCGTCTTCAGAAAGGATCCAATTTAGTACTTAACTGTCCTCAGATTCACATGCCATTTGGAAGTGCCTTGCTGTGTCATTGCAGGGCTGCTTGTCCTACTCCCATGCCCATAGCCTGTCCTCTCTGCAAGGCTCTGTTAGGCATTTAAAGGCAGCTATAAAATGAATCACTTCTTTAAAGAGTCTCCGTGCATGGAAACTGAGCGGTAAAATCACAGATATCGCCAAAAAGAAGCATCAGTATCAGCCAACTTACCCCAAAGACCAGCAGGGAGCTGCGGGAAGTCAAGTGGATGGCGGAGCGTGGGGATTTGAGAACTTTTATATGGTTTCAAAGCCCTGCCTTCTGGGAATGAGTCCTCCTAGGTAATGAGCTCATTCTTTCACAACTGCTTTTGTGTGTTTCCTCCACAGACTTGTTTTACACGTAGGCATCGCGAGGAGGCCGCTTTGGGGACAGAAAGCGCTTTAATCCCCTTTCTGACCAACGTGACTTGGCAAAATCTTCCCGAAACGTGAGCAAAGGCGGTTCTTGCRGGTCCATACCTTCCTCGTAGAGCCCACCAGCCCCTTGGGTCTCCATAGTTCAACCCAGCGTGGCTCCATTCGGGCCGTGGCTCTGAGTCATTTCATCGCACCTAATGATCGGGTCCCCACTTCTAAAGATACATCAGTGGTTTAAGACAGAGACACTAATCTGTTCCCCTTCCGACTGCTTCTCATCAGTGATTTCCCAGGAGTGATTTCCTCGTGATCCTGCCAAGCCACATGAGTTGCTTTTCAGGAATTTCTTTCTTTTATTTTTTTCTTTTTTTTTTTTCCCACCAAAATCTTCATAGTTTCCATTATTTCACCACAAAACAGATTACTTTGAATGGAGGCTWCTCACCCTGGTGCAGAGGGTGCAGCTTCTGTCTATCCGAATTGGGGGAGGAAAGGGAATTGAAAATATCTCCTTGTAATCTGTGGAAAGTAAAGGGACTTTTAATGGTATATGTCATGTCCACATGGGATTGGTTTGGTTGGGTATCAGAACTCACCATTTAGCAGAGAAATACAGGGATTTTGTAGGGTCCCTGGTGGGACATCATTCCGTGTAAAAACCTTATGGAGTGAAAATGGAGCRAAAATGGCTCATTTATCTAAACAAAATCACTTATATTGAGCTAAATTAAATCCAAACTATATCAAACTGAACCAAATCAGCTCCATCTAAAGCCCATTACCTCTTCCCACCCTTCCGAAAGCTCTTGGGACCAAAGCCAGCCCGGCCTCATGGGTGATGCTGGGATTACTTTCCCCGGTGCAGAAAACGCCTCCCACGCAGGGGGCGAATTTCATCACATTTGGGGTTTTTTGGGGGGCGCTATCTCCGTCCCGTCCCTTTTGCCCTTATCAGCGCAGCCGCTGCGGTGGCCGGGCCGGTCCCGTCCCCACGAGCGTCAGCACCGCGCCGGGCCGTGGCGCAACGTCCTCCGCTAATGACGGTGTGGCAACGCCGGGGCAGGACCCCGGGGTGCACGTCGGCATCTCGCGCCCCTGTGTGACTTCATGCTGCGCCTTCCCCCTCTTGCTTCATCCCCAGGTGGGGCCCTTGCTCGCCCTCCCCGGCTGCTTGGTTTTAATTTCCAGCCTGCGCCAGCCCAGGGGTGAAATTGCAGCCTAGGGATGAGTCAGGCCTGGCCTCTGCTGCTGCTGCAGCTGCAGCCGGGAGCCGGGGCACGTTCCGGCCCAAAGAACCTGCCCTCCTGCTTTCTAGGCAGGGTCTGTGCCACCCTGGGCATGGCCTTCCTGCTGGCATCTGCTGCTGCAGCACAGCAGCACAGCAAGGAGGAAGGCAAGGAGCTTAGGCTCAGAGGAGCAAAAACTACAGGGATTTATAATTATTGCACTTTTTGGCCTCGGGAGGCCGGAGCGTGGGAGGAGGACCCATGCGTGTCATTTCCTCAAGGGCTGCAGATGAAGAGCATGAAGGTGCGYGGTCAAGTTGGCCCATCAAGCYTCGTTGCACCCGTCAACCAGAGCGSCCGATAGCGCCGCGGCACACGGTGCCTGTGGAGCAGCGCCGAGGCGGCTTGCGGGCTGGACAACCCTGTCCTGGGTCGAGACACCGCGGCTATTTCAGCCAGCAGATGGGTTTCAGCGGTGTGCAGCCACTCTGGGCACGGAATTCCCAGCCCCGACTCGCAGCATCCAGTGATTAAAGCAAATCGCTTTCCATAGCTGGAAGGGGGACGACCTGAGCCGTGTCTGGGGAGCAGGAGGTGGGGCTGGCCTGACCTTAAGCCCTGCTTGGGATCCAGGCCTGCAGAGGCTCCGGGAGGTCACTTCAGCTGCAAGTCAGCAACCTCAGCAGAAAAATGATGGTAATTACCCTGCAAGAGGCTCTGAAGTCAGCCCCGTGGAGAGGGAGGGAATGTTTTCCCCATAGCAGAGGTGTAACTGCTTTCCCCTTCCATGCGAGTTGCACAAAGGCTATTTTTAGAGGTAAATTCCCYTGGGGGCAAAACCCGCCTTGCTCAGACGTGCGGGAGCTGAAGGAGGACGGCTGTGCAGCACCGTCCGCGTGAGCACGTCCTGCTGATCCCAGGAATCTTATAACACGGCAAAGGAGAAAATCCCTGGCCTGTCCCTGCTTTCCTTGCAGCTCGTGTGGATGCTGGGCCCATTCCTCCTTCGAGGTCCSTGCAAACGCCGCTCTGCAGGGATGCAGAACGCGCGCAGCCCCTGCAGGGATGCTCTTCTCTACCTGCTCTCTCCAAGACTTTGAACCTTTACGCCCAGAGAAAATAATCTGAGGAAAATATTACGCTCCTGGATTTCATGTCATGGTGTAATTGMGAAGTCGCTGAACCGGCTCCGCCAAGGCACGGCTCACCCTGATGGCTTAATTAGACGCCRTTTCGTTAACACCCCGATCTTGTTCTTTATTGCCGCCTCTGTCATCACTTCGGGGTGGACACCTTGCTTAACTCACCTCACGAGACAAAAGACATAATTGCCTGTTGCTGAGGTTCCTAGTATCGGTCTGTCTGCTGTGGTCCAGTCACTATGACCCAGCAAAGTCCGGCCTAACCGAGCCCACCCATGACCGTGGGCACTTGCAGGGTCAGTAAGGGGCAAGCGCTTGGAGGGCGCCCCATGCTCCCAAGTAGGCAGAAAAAGCCTCAAACATCTCAAAGATTCCGGCCCTGCATTGGAAATTTTCAGTGTGAACGTGCCYCGGGCGTTACTGCTGTTATTTTTAGGCAGGATTAAAGATGGGAGGTTTTGAAGCCTTTGAGAGATGCATGAAGAAGCATTCGGCTTTGGTGCTTCAGGTGTGGCCAGCACAAGAGCCTTTGCTGCTAAAATAGAAAACACCTGAGAACGGGGAGGCTTCTCCCATAAAGGACAAGGGGAAAAAAAAAAAAATCTGTGATTTGGACCACAGAATGCAGGTGGTGTGTGATGCACAGGCAGAGCCCTGCATTATAGAAGGAACTTTCCAGTTCCCCAGGCTCTCGCTCTGCCTTTACRTTGACCCTCTGCTTCTGCTGTGTTGGGTAAGCCTGATTCTGAAGCACCTATTAAATACTGCTAATTAGGCCTGTCATAATACCGCTCACTGCGGGGGCAAACACCAGATTGGTGCTGCCGATTTTAGACTCTTCCGCCTGCAAATGGGATTAACTGAGATTAAGTTGCAGGGGCTGCCGGCCGGAGAGATGAAGCAGCCTCTGCTCCCATTGCACCCGCACGGTGCCACTTGTGGGTGCGGATAATCCTGCTTCGTCCCCGTGCTGCTCCTCGAAGCCATTGCTATTGCACAAGGTGAAAAGGGGGGGAATTGGGCCCAGGGGACACTGAGTTTCTAGCAGCCAAAGCCCAGTCTGCACTGCTATGGAGAGATGAGGTTTGAGAAGCCTGGTGCTTTCACAGCGCCTGGTTGATGACRTGTCCTGTGTGCGAGGATGGAGGGACACGCTCCAGTGCTTTCGAGGAGCTTTGCACGGATGCATTTGCTTGAATGCGCTGCTGGGGTGCTTGGGAGGAGTCCAGTTTGCAGAGCGGAGTCAGCAAGAGACGGTGCCAGGGGAGGAGCGTCCTGCAAGGGTCAGGCCATGAGAGGGACCTGGGCAGATGGAGGCGAGGAGCACAGATAGGGAAGGAAAATTACTGCTCTTGAGGCAGGGGAATTATCTCGAATCTTCTGCTTTCCATAGCTTTGAGTCAGCGGTGGCAGCCGCAGACGTCCTGACTCTTGTAGGGTGCTTGGTCCCCACACCACAGTGCGAGTTAGGGTAAAGTCACTGATATTGCTAACAAAATTGCTGTTGCCTCTGCTTCTCTATCCTCTTCTTGTGGCAAAAAAAATCACACATGCCGCAAAATACTTGAAAAAGAGTGTATTTTCTCTCCTCAAGCCCTACGTTGCCCTTGATCCTTTGACGATTTTTGCAGAGAGTCAACCCAGCAGCAGGACTGGCAGGGGCACAAGAAGGACCCGAGGGGCTGCCTGTGATGCTCTCCCACCAGCAGAACCGCCCCGCGACGCCCCCAGCGAGACCGGCGAGAGCTGCAGCGGATCCCRAGGCTTCCGAAGCAAAAGCAGCTCCCGTGGGTGACAAATGAGGCGCAGAGGCGAAGCCCGGCGCGTGCTGCACGGGGCCCTGCTCTGGGTCTGCTCTGGGTATTTCACACTTTATTCCCCGCTGGGTTCATGCTGCATTTTGCTTTCGTGTTGCCCCATGCACTGCAGAGGGGATTATTCTGCGACAGAAGAGAATAATCTGTTCTAGTCTACACCCGCGCACCAGTATTGATATGAGGAGAAAGGCACTGGCATCGGTGTTGAAACTCTTAATTCAAGCATTTTAAAAGTCACCCGGGTTATTGCGATGCCATAGTCTGGTTTTCTAGGGAGACTGAGCTCCCCGGGGCCTAATAACACCCCTAACAAAGAGGTGCTGGGGTGACTAATTGCAGCACAGAGAGAGCTCGTTAAGCAATAAAACTCTTTTAAAATGAGGCAAGAAGGAGCCCAACTTGGGAGGGTTTTGCTCTAGTGTGTGATGGCCTCCAGTGCTCTGGATTGCTGAAATTTACTGAACTACTGAATACTGAATTTACGGCTTGCTGGGCTAAGAACATGCTAAGTTTTGCTCTCTGCAGCCTCTGTGCTGCTTCCTAATTACAGCWCCACTCCAACAAAAACGCGCAGTCCGTGCATGCTCGTGGGGCTTCCTTTTCCCTGGAAGGGGACCCAGTGGYGCCAGGGGAGCCAGTGCGAGGGCTCGTGGCTGCACCCTGCAGCACAGGGGCTTGCGTGGAGGTGGCCGGGCCAGTAGAGTCCTGCAGAGCCCCACCGGAGCCCCATGCAAAGGCACTGGTGCAAAGGCTGTGCTGAGTCACCAGCACCCTCCTGGAGCCTCCCTGCACGGGTGGCTGCTGCGCTCTAGCGGCTTCTCCTGCGCGGGGCCGGGCGTGCTCGGGGATGGGACGCGCAGCTCGGCCTGCAGTCATTCCGCTCCAGAGTACCTGCTGCCCACAGGAGGGCTCCGCTCCCGGGGCTCCCTGCGCTCACTCCCTCCCAGCAGCAAACGCTCGCGGCGGCTGACACAGCAAGGCTAATTTGGCACCAGCTGGGCTTCCRAGTGCTCCCCCCCGGGTCCATCCGCCCTGTTTCTCCTCGCTGCCCTTCTGCCARTTCCAGCAGGGAGCAGTGAATTCCCGCGCTGGGCGCTCCTCTGCGTTCCCTATGGATCACTGGCACCCCGTGTGCTCCTAATCCTCCCCTGGAATTGCTTCCAGTGTGTTTTCCAGCTCTCTCTTCCTACCCGTCCACGCCAAGGCTCTGTTGGCTTTTTATTTTCCTGCACTCCACCACACCAGACTCACGCATGCCGGGGATGTTCAGGGGGTTTCTCAGACGGAGCCGCTTCAGGACAGGCTGGGTTTTGCCTGGATAGGGTGGGAGCTACCGGGAGGTGACAGCAGAAACACGCAGTTTTGCAGGGAACATCATCCGCAAGGGGAACACGCCTCGAATTGCCACGCAATTAAAGTCCCCGGAGCTGTAGCACTGCCAAAGTTAAAACGGAGCCARATAGGGTTTATGGGGATTTTTTTTTACCTCATTAGTCCTGTAGGTTTTAATGCTGTTTAAGTGGATTTAGATGAGTAATCTTATGGAGATTCCTGGTATGAGAATAAAAGACAAGGTGTTGCTCTAGCTAAAAGTCTGCGGGGGCTTCGATGTGGGGCGGATACCAGCGGGTTCAGGCAAGAGGGGGGTCCAAGGCTTGGATGCCCTGTCCCCTACAACCAACACCCTGTCCCCACTGCTGTTCTGCCCCCCTTGTACCTTCCAACCCCCCCGGGGCAGGGACGCCGCTGCCACCCGCCTCCAAATGCCACACGGTCTTCCCATGCCAGGAAGGATTATGCAAACGATAATTGACCGCGCCATGAGGAGCCGTGACGTCCGCCTCCTCATCCTCGGGGATGATCCCCGTGAGCGMGGCCGTGCGCGTGGAGCGCGTTTGGCAGAGGCGCTAATGGGGTATGTCGTGAGCACCCCGTGCCTCCAGGCCGCGTCCAGAAGCTATATAAATGCCCTCCCTCCGTCAGGTCTCTCTGGTCACATCACGAAGCTGTCCTCACCCAGGAGCGGGGTAAGTCTGGTTGGTGATGAGCCTCTAGGACCGCTGAAGTGCGAATTGTGATTTTTTTTTTTTCTAATTCTATGCATGCTTCACTGGGAAGATATCCCAAAACCAGTGGGTTTGGGGGGGTTATGCCTCCAGCTCCACCAGCCGCTTCCATGCGAGCTGGGAGGCCACAAACAGCACCCAGGCATCGCAAGCACAGGCTGCGATGGAGATGTCCATCAAGCGGGATAGCTCCAGAGCRCTGGAGCAAAGTGCTGCTGCGAGGAAGGCGGGCGAGCTGGTGCTCAGCTGAGGCGGCTCTACCCTTTAATCAGCCTTGGCTCCATAACGAGCGTGAACATTGCCAYGCCAGCACTGACCTGCGGACGGTGGCTGACCTGGTTTCATGGGGCTGCCAAGACCCGGGTGCCCGGGGCTGTTTGCTCTCCTGACCACTACTGGCGCTTGGAACATTTTTCTAGGCTGGGGGCTTTGATTTCACTCGTCTGAAGGACGTCAGAGGTGGTGGTTGTTGGGTAAAAAGAAGGGGAGAATGGGGYTAGTGTTTGCAGGAGGGATGGGGATGTCTCCTACTGCCTCCAGAGGTCAAGGAGGTAGAGGAGGTGAGTGGGACCCTGTGTCCTGCTTGTGTCCCCRTGAGCTCCTGCTGCTAATGCGGTGCCAAGTCAGGCACCTTGGAACAGGCTGCCCAGGGAGGCTGTGGAGTCTCCTTCTCTGGAGGTCTTCAAACCCACCTGGACGCCGCCCTGTGCCACATGCTGTAGGTGTCCCTAGTGGAGCAGGAAGGTTGGACTAGATGATCCCTGGAGGTCCCTCCCAACCTTAACCACTCTCTGAGGTGACTCTGAGGTCCCCAGTGGGAGGAGCTGAGGCTCTGTGTGTCCCGTGTCCCCRCAGTTGTGCCAAAGCCTTGCCGAGATGTCGTGCTACCTGCCACCGCGCCTCCCTCCCATCTACCAGCAACCACTGCCGGTGAGGCGGCCGCCCACGTACGCGGCGTCGTGCCAGCCGCTGTGCCGCTCGGCGCGCTGCCTCCCGCAGTGTGCGACCCCCTGGGGGTCCCACCAGCACGTGGCGGGCACTGGCTTCCCGCAGCAGCACTACGCGCCCGAGTGCGCGCCCCGTCTGCGGCGCGCGGCCACCTGCATCCTGCAGCAACCGTGTGTGACCCGCTGCGTGGCCACCCGCGCGCCGCTGCGGCGCGCGACGCCCTGCGTCCTGCAGCRGAGTGCAACCTCGTGCGTGCCGCAGCAGCCCTGCGTGAGCGAGTGGGTGACCACGTGCATGGCGCAGCAGCAAAGTGCCACCGAGTATGCGACCGCCTGCGCCCCCCAGCAGTGTGTGACCAAGCGTGCGACTCCGTGCGTCCTGCAGCAGCAAAGTGCAACCAGGTATGCGACCACGTGCATCCCCCAGCAGTGTGTGACCAAGTGTGCGACTCCATGCATCCTGCAGCAGCAAAGTGCAACCAACTATGTGACCACCTGCACCCCCCAGCAGTGTGCAACCAAATTGGCAACTCCGTGCATCCTGCAGCAGCAAAGTGCCACCAAGTATGCGACCACCTGTGCCCCCCAGCAGTGTGTGACCAGGTGTGCAACTCCGTGCATCCTGCAGCAGCCAAGTGCCACCAAGTAYGCGACCACATGCATCCCCCAGCAGCAATGTCCTATGAGGTGCACGACCACCTGTATTCCCCAGCAGTGCTATGTGACCAAGTGCGTCCCCCAGCAGCAGTGTGCCACCAGGTGCATCCCCCAGCAGAGCGTGACCACCTACCTGCCGCAGCAGAACGCCACCAGGTGCGTGACCACGTGTGTCCCACAGCAGCGTGCCACCAAGTGGGTCTCGCAGCAGTATGTGGCCCAGTGCACCCCGTCACAGTGTGCCACCAAGTGTGCCCTGCCGCAGTGTGCCACCAGGTGTGTGACCACCTGCGTCCCRCAGCAGTGTGCCACCAACTGCGTCACCGTTTGCGTTCCGCAGCTGTGTGCGCCCGCTTGTGCCACCAAATGCCTCCCACAGCAGAGTGCCACCAAGGCCACCCAGCAGCAGAGTGTCACCAAATGTGCCACCAAGTGCGCCCAGCAGCCAAGTGCCACCAAGGGTGCTCCACAGCAGACTGCCACCAAGTGCACCCAACAGCAGCGTGCCACCACGTGCGTCCCGCAGCAGAATGCCACCAAGTGTGCCACCAAGTGTGCCCAGCAGCAGTGTGCCACCAAGTATGTGACCACGTGTGCCTCGCAGCAGTGTCCCACCAAGTGCGTGGCCACGTGTGCCCCGCTGCAGAGTGCCACCAAGGCCGCCCGGCAGCAGGGTGCCACCAACCGTGTGAGCGCTTGTGTCCCGCAGCAATGTGCCGCCCCGCAGCAGTGCCAGCCTGGTGGYGTGAAGGTTTCCAGCCATTGCAAGAAGTACTGCTCTGCCCCGAAGTGGCCCTGGTAGAGGAGCAGGGGCTGCTGGTGCAGAGCTCCCCATGGGCAGGGGCTYCAACCTGCACTCCCCTCCCGCCAGCAGCTTCTGCTGAACCCTCCTCACTTCCCTTTTCCAGCATTTCCCTCTAAATCAGCTCTGTCAAGTCGCATCTCCCTGGCTGCTCTTGGGGTGTCTGTGCTTCTTCCTTTGTCTGCTTTCCTATGTAGTTTAGTGGGACATTAAGGTCTCCTAATTGCAATATATAATGATTAAAAAAAAGATGAAGAGGAGGTAGAATAGGACCGTTCTCGGAAGCCAGCTGGGACACGGCAGTGGCCGGGTGGCTCTATGCAGCCTCCAGARGCGTTTGCTATCATATTCGGAAGAAACCCGTAAATTTGCTAAGCAAATAATTTATAAGTCTCTTTGCAGTGGCCTTCATTTAGGAAGGTCCTAATTGCCCTGCTGCAAAACACTGGCTCTGCGCTGGCCTTCAGCAGAGCTCCAAGTATTTACAGACAGTATTTCTGGCTCRGGGAAGCCAATCTTGCTGCAAGCTTTTTATATATTAACATTTTCTTGCACTTAGTTGCTTTAATGAGTGTTGAAAAACATGTCTTGAAAGCGAAGAAAGTCTTAGGAATGCTTCAGAAATACGTAGCACCACTGTTTTATAAACCTTTGCACACAGAGGTCCTTACCTGTGTTGTTTATGCTGCCTAAAGATGTGCCCTCTACATCGTACCGAAAACACTTATAGATATGCATCCTTAAATAAATACAGTTCAATAGCATCAAAATGACATCTCTTGTCTTTCTGCCTCTTGGTGCTTCTCCTGCCCATCCGCCTGTTCTCCGAAACCTCTTCCCCCAAAWCAGAACTTCCGCTTAGGAGACAAATCCCTGCAGCCAGACACAGGGCTTTGTTTTTCTGAAATTTTCTGAAAAAAAATCAAAACATGTACATTTTGTGCGGGGTGTATTTGGGTGCCAGGTGCCATGAATCCCAATCCTGGCCCTGACTCATGGTCCCGGACGCCTGCAGAGCGGCGTGCCTCAGTTTCCCCTCTGCTTAATTGAGGCTAATAATAGACCCCGCAACAACGCCCGTGTGGCACCATGCGTCTCCCGGAGATTAAAGGATTTCAGAGCCCTTTGCAGCATTAATTAGGAAGCTCTGGATGACGACGCATGATGCTATCGTGGCGTTAATACTTGCGACCTGGCCTGGAGCCGCTCGTCTCAGTGCCRACGCTGCTCAAGCATCATGTGGAGTTTACCTGGATGGGATGTAGGTTTTTTTCCCATAAAATCCCTATCAATCCACTTACTATTGCCCAGCTGGCTAGTTGACCTCTAACATCTCCGTGTAGATCATTTAATATTAAAGGAGGGATTTATAGTAAAGGGTTTTGTAGTTAAGGGCTGCAAGATGTGGGAATTCGTTAGGGAGATATCCAGGAGGGAGATCCCTGCTCTGTGCAGGGCAGCAGCAGGGGTGGTTCGGGTGCCTTTGCAGGCTGCTCTAATTAAGCCTGCAAATGAGCTTCTGCAATGGGATTTTTAAGGGATGCATGTGGAAAAACAGCCACAGGGGCAGTTGTGACGTCCTGGGTCACCCCTTGTGCCGCATCGTGGGCCGGGTTGGGACAGGAGGGTCGCCCTCCCGGCAGTGCCACCACAGCGGCACGTGGCTGGGCTGGGGCTGAAGGGCAATTGGAGGCGTCCACGCTGCCTCACCGCCCCAGGGCACTTATTCACCCTATAAAAGCCCGGCCACGGCGCGGCTCCTGCAGACACTCTGCTCCGGACCCATGAGGCGGGTAAGTCTGTCCGTGTGCGCTCCCAAGGGCCGGGTCTTTGCCAGGCGGGAGCGGCCGTGCGCTTGGGCTGGAGCAGCGCATCCTTCACACGGATCCCGGCCTGGAACCAGGCGCTTGCAGTCTCCGCSGTGCTCCCTGGTAGTCTATGGGGCCGGGTTTAATGTTACCAGTGATTACAGGAGCAGCATGGAGACTTTTTTCCAGTTTTTTTGGGGGGGATTTCAATGCAGCTCCAATGACTCTGGCAAAGAGCTGACTGGCTTTGGTCCTGATGCGCTATGTAGCAGGCAGAGATCCCAGCCCAAACAAGTCAAAATTTCTATTTGATTAATAACAACAAAATGAAGTCCCAGATAGAGATAACCCATAGAAAGGAGCAGAGCCCCTGCTCTGAACAGAATGGCACCAGCTGCGTCAGCGCTGGACATGGGGTGGCCATCAGCACTGCCCTTGTTTTTGGGACAGTTGTTTTGATGAGTCAATAATTAGGATAATAGCAGTGGTGACTAGAAGTTTTATTAAGGAGAGCTGCCCAGCGAGAGGCTTTGGAAAATCCTGCCTGAACCCCAGGCAGAGAGACGGCTGCTTGGGAAATACCATTTCAATTGCTCTCTAATGTGGAAATGATAGGGAAAAAAAAAAAAAAAAAAAAAAAAACCCAAATCAGGTCAGGGCACTGCTAGCATAGCAGCATTCCCAAGTCCTGCCTCCCTCCAAAAAGCCCTGTTAGAAATCCGGAAAATGCTATTGAGGCTGGGAGGTTTCTCGCGTCCCTCCAAGGCACTGCAAGGCTCTGCCTGGGTGTTGTGGGATGAGGCCACCGGGTCCTTGACTCTGAAAACCATCTCCTGTCTCCTCCGTCCTTGTTCTCCTCTCAGCTTGCCCGGGTGGTGAATGTAGAGCCGGAACGCGGCGCCCACGGAGGCGGCAGAGCTGGTGCCACCTGAGCCAGCTCCAAGGCCAGCGTCACCCCGGTCTCCATCCCATCCAGCCCCAGGGATTGTGAGGACAGGTAGGACACGCCGGGCTCCTGCTGCCAGCTTTAGTCTCAGCTTTAGTTACAGGGTGTTCCTCATCCTTGGGGCTGAGGATGGGGGCGCAGAGCACATGCTGGAGGGGATGCAGGTTCCTCTTTGCAGGTGCTTTGCTGAGTGTGCACTTGGGCTCCCTGGAGGCTGCACAGAGCACACGGGCTCTCCTGCCCTGCTTATGCAGCTCATCAGAAGCAGCCTCCATGGAATGGGGCTCCTGTCGGCTCCGTATGGGAATGGCCATGCTCCGTGGAATGGGGCTCCTGTCGGCTCTTGGGGCTCCTGTTGGCTCCTGCCGGTTCCTGGGGCTCCTATGGGCTCCGTATGGGAATGACCATGCTCCATGGAACAGGGCTCCTGTCAACATTAATGGGGCTCTTGTATGATATTAATGGGGCTCTGTACAACATTAATGCTGTTGTATGGGAATGACCATGCTCCATGGAACAGGGCTCCTCTGCCTGTCATCTCGGTGTGGGAATGCCCATGCACTCATCAACCCGCTGCCTCTTTCTCTTGCAGCCCGCCCGAGCATGCACTTCTACGAGGAGCGCTACCAGCCGCTGCGCCTGCCCGTGGCCGGCACMGTCGTCGAGAGCCTGCGGGCGTGTGCGCCCCAGCCCCAGGCGGCCAGCGGCACCTGCCTCCCGCTGAGCGTCACCAAGAGCCCCGTGGCCGCGTGGCCGGGCTACCTGCAGCCCTTGCGCTTGCTGTGCGCGGCGCCGCGCGCCGCCGCGCTGCCCCTGCTGCACGGCCAGCCCTGCGCGCCGCGCGCCGTGCTGCTGGGGCGCGAGGCTTGCGAGGCCGCTGCGCAGGCGGCCCGCGCCGCCGCCGCCGCGTGCAGCCCCCCGCCCTGCCTCGCCGGGCGCCCCGAGCGGCGGCGCGTGGCCAAGAGCCTGCCCCCGTGCGCCCCTAGGTGCCCCGAGCCGGGCAAGCTGCGCTTCCCGCCGTGCGGCATCAGGTACTCGTCCTCATGCCGCGGCGAGCACGCGGCGGCAGCATCGCGGGGCTCCAAGCGCGCGGTGGTGGCAGCGCGGGCAGGGCCGGGCGGCTACTCGCGGCCGCTGCAAGGCGGCACTGAGTGCCCGCAGGAGCGCGCGCCGCCCGAGCGCGTGCTGCGGGAGCGGGCGCTGCAGGAGCGCGCCGGCGGCTTCCCGCTGCAGCGCTGCACCAAGGGCTACCCCATGCAGGACTGCGTGTCTCCGTGCCTGCTGCAGCCCCTCGACACCAAGCCTCCGCCGGCGCCCTGCGTGGCGCGGGGCTCGGTGCCGCACAGGGCCAAGGCGCGGTGCCCAGGGAGCCCACACGCTGCCAAGGTCCAGGGCACCCATCCCTGCGCGCCCCTGCGCGCTGCCCGGCCCCACGGCAGTGCAGGAAAGGGCTCCAGCCACGGGAAGAAGAGCCGCTGTGGCGCCAAGTGGTTCTGGTGACGGAGCTCYAGGAGTGGCCCTGGGCTCCAGGAGTGACCCTGAAATTACCACCGGGGACCAGGGCTGTGACTTTGCCCTGTTCCTCAAGCCCAGCTTGGCGCAGATGTGGCCGYGCTTCCTCCGTGTTTTCCCCGTGTTACGTTCATGGGGTGGATTGCCTTCATCTAGGACCTCTGTTATTCCTACAACAGAAAATACTGTAAAAATTGAAAAATGCAAGGGCAGGTGCTCACATCTCAGCTCTAAAACAGCTGCACTGCAGAGGTCACACCTGCACGAAGTTCTCACTGTCACGGGGATCAAATATCATCCCCAGCTGTGCCGGTCACATTAAAGCTCAGGTTGCGCCTAGTTTGCTGTGATCTCCTGTCTTATTTATTCCCTTGTTGGATGCCTGGTGAAGCTTTTTTCCTGTTAAACTGCTGCAGCTGTGTGCAAAGGTGCTCCTAAGCCATTCTGGCTGCAGGAGCACATCCTGGCTGGGATTTCCAGGGAGATCCAGTCTCTGGTAAAGAATCCACAGCCTGTGGAATCGGGCTGGTGCATGGTGGACATCCCTGTGGATCCCACTAGCAGTAGGGTCATGGGGTATTGGGGTGATGGGGGAGAGGAGGAAGCCCAAAGTTCTTCCCATATGAAGAGCTGGTGCAGGCGCAGCCTGTGCTGTGGCCTTGCTAATCTGGGTCTGCAGACAGGTAACCAGATGGAGAGCTTGCTTTCCCCTCCAGCTCTTCCTGGAATAAAAC